CCACACTCTACACTTTACACTCCATACTCCACACTCTACACTTTACACTCCACACGCTACACTTTACACACTCTACACTCCTGACTCTACACTTTACACTCCACACTCCTTACTTTACTTTCCACACTCCACACTCTACACTTTCCACTCCACACTGCAGAGTGGTAACAAGGGAAGCATGTACAAGACTGTTCAAATAAACTATTGCAGAAAGGTATTGTGCGTGACTGCATAACCATGTGTATTGACATCTGTATAATACCATTAAGATACGTGTGAGCATTCGGGTTCGTGGGCTTCATCTTGTTTTTTTGTGTTACAGCGCCCCAAGCCGGGGAGTCAATTCATGCAGGTGAAACCGGGACAGATGATAAAATCTTCAGACCCTCACCGACAGAGATGATAAAATCTTACAACCCTCACCAACAGAGATGATAGAATCTTATGCCTTCAGAAAGGCAAAAAACAGGGCACTTAGGGCACCCAGTTAACATCAGCAAGACTGAGTGGTTCTTGAATTTTGGTACCCTCAAAAAGATCCCAAAACTGAGCTGATGGTTTTTGATCAGATATTCCTTCCTAAATAATGGCCAGAAATTGGCTGCCATTTTAATTTCAAGAAACAATATCCTCATATTGTTGGTGATATTAACTTATAGTTATACATCATTACTGTAAACATATCCCATCAATATCGATTACTTAGATCCCGCTACGTACCTAGTCAGAGATCTTAAGGTTGATGGATTGGTTTAACGGAAAATTTACAGGAACCTTCCCATAAACCACGGGAAACTCCGTGCTTTCCGGTGAAAATTTTCCAAAATCAATCCATTGATACAGAAACTGAGGATCCTATCCTAGTAAATATCTCCCATTAATATCGTTGGATTATATCCTGTCTGGTTGGTGGTTTGGAACCATGGAATTTTATGACTTTCCCATCATATTGGGAATTTCATCATCCCATTTGACTTTCATATTTTTCAGAGGGGTAGGGCTCAACCACCAACCAGCTGTTATATGACTGTAAGAAATGTGTGTATATGTTAAAGGATAATATCCCCATTGAAAACCAGAAACTTAGGATCCTTCCAAGTAAATATCTCCCATTAATACATATCGTTTGATTATATCCTGTTATATGACTCTTATATAAATGTGTGTATATGTTAGATGATATCCCCACTACAGAAACTGAGGATCCTTGCCTTCCAAGCAGATGTCATGGCAGAGCTGGAGAAAGATGCCACAGTTCCCAAGTCCCCCATTGCCATCGCCAACTGGACCAGCTCCGTGGAGGGCGAGTCGGGGTTCATCAAACTGCTGACCTGTTGTCCGTGCTCGGGCACCCCACGTGAAGCAAAGATGCTGGACGTGGTTTTTCAGAAAAACTGGGGCCGGAGGGTTTTGTCTTGGTTTCAAAGAAATCGAATATGGTTTAAGCAGCAAACATGAGGATACATATATTATATATATAATGATCAATTTGATAATGAAACAATATCAGCGTATATTAGCCCATTAAGCAAAATATGGGCCATATGGGTTTAGGTGATGTCAAAGGTTGGTGGATGATTAGTCATTGAACCAAATCCACTTCAGCTAAATCTGGCCAACATCAGGGTTGCTCCAATGAATTCTAGGTATTTGGTAGCCACTTTTGGGCATTGGCTATTATGAACGTATTTTTAGGTAGCCACTTTTGATTTGGTAGCCTTAGGTATAAAGTAAAAACATGTATTATTTCCGCTTTGAACGTGTCTGGCCAGGGAGGTTCTCCCTGGGTTTGTCAGAATGTTTCTACGACCAAGTCCACTGATCAATCATCATTTTGCTTACTAAAATTTTCATGTTGGGTATTTAAAAACAAAAAAATGTCCAACTTTCAGACACTGCCAACTTCATATTGTTGGCTACATCTTCCATGATATCCTCATCAAAGCACCATTGTTGTTGGCTAAATCCCTATGTTTCGAAGGGGTATTTATTGCCAGATCCAGGAAGATCTTTGACTCCTTCGCCCAGCAGAATCGCTTGATCTTGTCCTTCCACTTCTACTCACCTCCCGCCACTGGAAGTTTCGAGGAAGTGATCCAATTGGCCAAGAAAAATGCCATCAAGTTGGGCGGAACCCTGGTGAAAGTCATGCCGTGCCATAGGTTTTTTTTTCACATGTCGGCCGTGGTTTGTCGGCCCTGGTTTTGTGGTCATGGTTTTATGGTCAAGGAGTTCGCCAGTGGCTAGTCCATGGTATAAGGATCTAGAACGTACACGATAAGATCATGTCACAGTATGGTTTCACCATCAAATTGCTGTGGCCGAGATAGCAAATTTGCATAAATTTGCTACACAAACATTAGATGCTGGACCATACTAAACATGATTTTATGTCAATTTTTCCATTAGAAAGACATCCCGCCCCAAGGTTGTTGTGGTTGATATGTTGTGGTTGTCGTTTTCTCCCCTTCATAGAATTGGATGATGGGAAAATTTGAACCGGAAACCCATGGAAAGCCCTATATTTGATGGTAAAAACCATGGTTTCCGGTTACGATTTTCCCTTAAACCAATCCATTGATTGGAACATTTTTTATATCTGGTTGGTTGTTTGGAACATGATTTTTTTTTCCATATATTGGGAATTTCATCATCCCAACTGACGAACTCATATTTTTCAGAGGGGTAGGGCTGAACCACCAACCAGTATTTCCTCTTTACCATTCTTTCGAGATTTTTCCACAGTTTTTCCAAGATTTTTCCAAATTTTCCCAGATTTTTCCACAGTTTTTTCCCAGATTTTGCCCCAAGCTTGTTGTGGTTTGGGTTTTCCCCGGGGATTGAGATTTTTGTGCCAGAAATTCCCATCTCAAAATACAGGAAACCCCTATATTTGATGGTAAAAACCATGGTTTCCGGTTAAAATTTTCCCTTAAACCAATCCATTGACTGGATTGATTTTTGCCAGGAATTCCCATCTTTCTCAGTGAGTATTTTGAGAACGGCGCTCAACTCATGGCTGACAAGTTGGCCGTGGCCGTGAATCAGGGCGCCAACGCAGTCACCTATTGGCACTACTGTGACAGAGACTATACACAAACAGCCGGTGGCTGGGCATGGTTAGTGACTCAGGTTATACATATAAAATATAAGGTATAATTTCAAATAATATAACATAATATAATATAATATAACATGATACAATATAACATAATATAATATTATATAGTATAATATAATATAATTTAATTAATATAATATAATATAATATAATACAATATAATACAATATAACATAAGAATATAACATAATATAATATAATATAGTATAGTATAGTATATTATAGTATAAGATAATATAATATAGTATAATATAATATATAATATATACTATATATATATAACTATATAACCACTTATTGGTGATGATTTAAATAGCCACTTATTAGTGATGATTTATGGTGATTTCTGGTGATTGAATGATGATTGAATGGTTATTTCAAGGGGATTTTAGCCAACAAAAATGGTGGTATAATGAGTATAATGGGGATACAATGGGAATATAATGGGATAATACCCTTAGCTTTCTACATTCTACATATATATATATATATATTAATATGTATATATTCTCTACACATATTGTTGCTGTATTATTAATATACAATATTCATGTTATTGTCATTCTCTCGGCTGAAAATCTTGCCTCAGCGTTCGTCAGGTTGGTACATCTACCCTGAAGAAGTCCAAGCTCTCGGAGGGGTGGTGAGTAACGCAGGGGTCATCAACACACCTGGCTGGGACGTCTACAAGACGACTGTGGCAGATGGGACCTTCTGGGGCGCTTACATCACAGGCGATTTTTGAGAAATCCATATGGCATCCATGGAAGAAATCCTACCAATTGATAGATGGTAAACATCTCATTATTTTGTTGGGGTTTAACCATCCCAAATTGGTGGTGCAGGATTTCGCTGGCATCCACAGTAATCCATAAAAGGAGGGAGCCGGGGAGCCTGTTGCCTGTTGGATGATTGGGCAAGTTTCCTCCGGAACGATCAACTTCCCACTTCACAACTTGCCTACGTATGGAGTCTTTTACGGGGGATGAATTGTACCCTCTGGTAAACTAACAGTTAGCTATGGCAAATCAGCATCTTTAATGCGTAAATCAACGATTTCAATGGGCCATGGCTTCCAGTTCGCAAACTGTGAAAAATTACCAGAGGTTCAGGGTTGTTTCCTGAGTCCGATCCAGGTGCGGGCGGTGGTCGCCAGAACGTCCTGGAGCTGGTGCCGGCCACCAACGTCAGCGCCAGTTTGCCGGTGCCGTGGCCCAAGAACTACACACCGCTGCACCATGGCCTGAAGTGCGACCCCAAGAGCAGTGACTGCGCGAAGGACGCCAAGGAGGCCAAGGACCTCTGATGGCGAGGTAGAGATGGATGTTGAAGTTGAAGGTTTTTACTGTGAGGTGGTGATTTTTTGGTAATCCAATTATAGATGGTAAATAGATGAAGTATATACATAAGTACCCAATTACGATGTGTCTTTTGGTGGTGGTTGGATGCGGCATGAGCTGTTTCACAAAGGATCTGACTGATCCCAAAGAAAATTTGGCCTTTGTAGTAACGTAGCCTCCCAGTTTTTGGTATCCGACCGTTGCATCAAAGATGGGTCAATGGTTTGCATAGGTAAAGTTGCCCTGGTATGGCTCAAAGGTTGCAGCGATTGCAGTTGAGTGGACTCACAATGATCATTCTTGTTCACCATCGGCCATCCAAGTTGCCTCCTGTGGGGGTACACATCCTATGAATTCCTATGATAAATGCTATCCCTGAGCCATCCCCATCTCAGAGAGTCCTGTGGCACCTGACCACTGGAACCTCCTCTGACGAACTGAGATATCACCCAATGCTCCGCGGAACTTGGGTGCCGAAACGACCGGTTCGTTCACCCGGCGAGATCGGTGAAAAGGAGCAGAAGGAGCAGCCATGAGCCATGGCCAGTGCGAGGAGTCAGTACTTTCAGCCTTTCAGCCCCAAAAATCCTAAAATGGTAATCAAACATAGCAGAAATCCATAGAAATCCCCCATTGAAATTGCTGATGTTCCCCTGGAAGCCTCGATTTTTTTGGATTTTCGCCACACCAGAGGCTAATCCAATTGATCCTGTTGCCACTGGTGAAGGACATATGTTTCCCTATTCAAAGCTGTCTATAGACCCTGCAAGTCCCATTAAAAAAAGTAGTTAAGCATATTTTACACACCATTAAAACATGTATGTTACCCCCATATTTTTAGTATGTTTATCATCTTTCAGTTATTTTGTTTTTATGGGCTTGATGTGGGTTTTGCTATCCATTAAACGGGAAAATGGCTATAAAATGCTATAAACATCTAGAAAAACAATAAAGCATGAAAACATATCAAAACATTGGATACCATATATTTTTCAGACAAACCTCTAGCCTCCGTAAGGTTTTCATCACAAATTTTCTTCATCTGAAAATGCAGCCCAGGAAACTTTCAGAAGGGTTCTGTTGATCCCTGGGGGATGTATTCCTATATGGTAATTTACTGGGTATCTCAATGTATCTCATGAAAAGATCGCCCTCCCTCAGTTGTTTGGTCCAAAGTGGCCCCAGCTTCTCATCCTCTCCGACCGCACGGGGGTTCCACCCCACCGCAGCGGATCCGCAGCGTTTCGCCAACCTACGCCATGATGGAGGCGACGCGGTGCCAGGGGCGTGTGACGATTTCAGGGGACGTCTACCAGATCGACGGCAAGGAGGTGGATGGGTGGATGGGGGTACCCCAATCGATTTAACTGGTGATTTCATGGTGATTTCATGGTGAAATAGCCATGAACAGTGAGGATTTCATGGGTTTTTGTTGGTGATGATTTCATGGTTTTTTGCTGGTGATTTCACCAGCAAACATGGCCGCTGGGAAATGCCGGCGCCATGGAGGTTTAGTTCGAAATGGGAAAATCATGAACGGGTGGGGATTTGCTAACACGGTGTGAACATCCCAGCAGAAATTGGGGGATATTTTTAATGTACCCTCTGGTAAACAAACAAAAAGCTATTGAAAATGCCTATTGAAATCGTGGATTTACCCATTGAAAATGGTGATTTTCCATAGTTATGTAAAAGTTTACCAGAGGGTATCATCCCATTGAAACTTCAATTGTGGATGGTTTCAGGTGAATTCCTCATCACACCACAGCGAGGGTGGAGCAAGGCAACCCCTCGATTTTTTTCAAGGGGACAACTTGTGCAACACATCCAGAAATGAGGGATTTGTTTGATTACCAGGTTGAATTATCAGAGAGTAAGTAGCTCTAGTGCTGGTGGTGGTAAACAACTGTACAATACTCTCGAAACTGGCAACAAGATGAAGCTTCAAGTTTCAAAATCCAAGTGCTGGAGTTGTATGACCTAAAGTGGATGACGCTATAGTAACCTCCAGAAAGAAAAGATAGGTTCAATTTATCAGTATTTCAGTAGGATGTCACTGTTCAATGTTTTCGTTGGCTACCCGTAAAAACTGTGGGCAAGGTGAGGCCCCCGGTTGTGTTTGTTGGTTTTTCTGAACCCCATGAATACTAGTTCTTTATATCCCCCATAAACCTTCATTAATTAACCAAGTTACGTAGTCAAAGAAGGGATATAAGAACTAAACCTACTTATAACCCATTATTTCCATTAACCTTCATTAACCTTCTTAAGTATCGTTGCGGGCTTCACTTTGTATTATATTATTATATTGTATCTCCTATGGGTCTTCAGTGATTTCACCATAGTCATATTCGTTGTATCCCAATTCATTCCATTTCATTCCCAATTTAGTTCCACTCAAAAATGGTGATATGTCACCATAATTATAAGTTATAAGTTGTTAATAAGGGTTATATCCCAATTTATGGGCCTTGAAGCTGTCTAAATACTTGGATGACACCTTAATTTTTTAGCAAAAAATAGAGATAGAAACCAAGGGGCCAAGAGGTTTTTTGATGTTTTTTGGGGCGGACATGGTCGGACAGGTGGTGTTGATGGGTGGCAACTATGTGGTGAAGGCGCAACCCTACTATCCGCCACTGGAGGCGGGCTTTTCATGAAAAATGGGGAGGGGATTTCAAGGAAAATATGTGAACATTATGGGATCTAAGCAACAAGAATGGAATGTTATTGCGAACCCTAAAAACGGGCAAAAACAGGGCAGCGCAGCTGCCGCAAATTTCTTGAGCCATGAGTAGTGCATCAGTGTGATCCTTGCGCAGGGGCCATGCCAGAAAGGTCCAACGGCCTGTGACCAACCTGCCTGTGCTGACGACACTTCTTGATTTGTGCGTGTCATCTGAACTCTAAAAATGCCACCACACTCCCCTATGCTGCTTTCGCAGCATTCCGGTGGCAGCCCAAAGGCAAAATTAGCCCAGTCTTCGCTGGGTTTCAAGGCTAAAGCCCGGCTCTCAGATGTCCTCCTCCTCATTTTCAGGAGTGCCACCAGGGTTGAAGTCCTCGTCCGTGACCAGCGAGTAGTCTTCGCTTGGATCTTCTTCCGATTCAAGGGCCTCCTCCTGGAAGTCTTCTTCCTCCTCTAGGCCTTCTGGCGCAGGGTCCAGTCGCCGCTCGGCCTGATACGGCGTGCACAAGGCCTTCACCGCCAGGCCGGGTTGCCTGGCCCAGGCTCCAACCAGCCCAGGCGGGTTTCCACCTGTGGACCATTCCCCAGGGATCACCGGAGAGCTCATGCCGGTCCACCAGGATTCATTTCAGGAGGCCGCATCGTCAATCTCAAAGACGCCAGCAGCGGATTCCCACCGCCTTCAGCTCCATCTCCTCCAACTGGGATAGTTCCCATATAGGTCCTGCCCCCATAGTTGTGCGCCCAGCTGCCGTCATGCGTCCTTCTTCACCAGGATCGATAGGTCCAGCACCAATCCCCATAGCTGCTTTTCCACGATGTCCAGGTCCAGGACGGCCACGAGGAGGGTCACCGCTCGCCCCTGTCGGAGCCTGGTACCTGCCGGTCTTGGGCGTTGGCTGGCGGTACCCATCGGCTTTTGGCACCGGCACAGCTCCTGCTCCAGCTCCAGGTGGTGGATAGGCACTTGACATTCCACCCTGCTTGGCCATTCACTGTCTTCTTTCTTCAGTGAAACACACCAAGCCCTTCACTGTTTCACTGTTAACCATAGATGCCAGCCCTTCATGACAACACATCCAAGCCGTCAGAGCCGACAGACTAACAGCTCCAGCAGTTTTCACAAATTGGCTGGCTCCGTTTTGGAGCACCAATCCTCCAAGGGCAACTACCGCCTCGGCTAGGCGACACAGCCGTGATGTTTCATCCGGCATGGAAAACTTGATCAACCCTAAGGTCCTACGGAAGGACTCCCAGCTGTTCAGCAGCACCACAGGCTTCGTCAGCAGGTCGGCCGCCAGCTCTGCTCCGGGAACATGTTCCACATGCCACTCGCGAGAGGCCAATCGCTCTCGCAAGACGAAGCTCCTCAGCCTCAGGTGGCGTGTTCGCCAAGGACCATCAGGCGCCAGCAGCAATTGGATCCCAGACAGGTTGTCGCCTCGGATCTCAAACTGGCCATCATCGATCATGGCGTTGTGCTCCAGGATGTTCAGGATGACTTGAAGTGATTCGCCCATCGTCAGCGCATCCACATATCCAATGAGTTCGGCCTCTGTACTGCTTAGAGCAGCAAAAGGCTGCCTTTTGCTCTCCCATTGGACCAGAGCGCCACCCCACAATGCCAGTATGCCTTGGCAACCACGAAGTCCCTGTGGGGCATGTGAAGCATCCGACAGGAGGGTGAGCTTCATCAGCTCATCTGTTGGCTCCCCCTGATCTGTTAAACAGCTCTTGTAGGCCAATGCAAACTCCCAGGTCTCCTGCAGGTAGCCCAGCAAATAGCGACCCAGCTCCTGAACCTTCTTGGGGCACTTTGTCACCCAGCCGCTCAACGTCGAAACAGCGAAGGCCAGGTCAGGTCGGGTTCGACCACTCAACCAAAGGAGCTCTCCCAGCAGCTGTTGGCACTTGCGGACATCCGCAGGGTCGATGTTGTCCTCAACCTCCGGTACCATGTCAATCTTCGGAAGCGGGACTTGGCGACCAGGAACGGGACCATGTCGTTCGAGGAGCTCACGGGCAAAGTCAGGCTGACCCAAGAGCAACGAATCTCCCTGCCACCTGAGCTGCATCCCACAGAACTTCAGCCACTTGGCACTGTTGACCCACTCCACCTCTGAACACGTCCACTCATCTCGAATCCGGCCCAAAGAGCCCTCCACCACCGGGCGAGGTCCAACACAAAGGATGTCATCCACATAGACAATGAGAAAGCCAAGTGGATCCGCATGAGCATCATCGTTGATGACCGGCTCCGGATGCTTCGTCCTTGAGACCCCCATGATTGACCAGATGTTGGGTTCTGGCGATCCTGACAAGTGGCACCTGTGAGTTGGAGTTTCCCATCGGAAGGACGACATGCGGTGATCTCTAAAGGATGCCCAGTCAGTTGGAGACGTGTCCAGGCCATACATCGCACCATCACATATCCATCGCTCCTCCGCTGGGACTAGGCCTGCAGAGGTCAACAATCTCGGAGGCTCCACAACCAACAACGGCCGTCGGGTTTGTGATCTGGGAGCCAAAAGAAATGCTCCCTTCACATCCGTCGATGCCAGGGACCAGGAAGTCAGAGCACTGGCATCAACCCCACCAGCATACAGATCTGCTGCAGCAGCCGGTCCGCCACCTCCAGGTTTCCCAACTCCACCTTCGTTAGGATCTCGTCCATCACCAGGGCTCTGCACTGCCGGCGATGCGGCTCCACGAGATCGATGGCAACCTGATCTCCACCATCAGGAAGCTGTGAAGGCTTCACATGCCCAGCTGGATGCACCATGTTCCCACAAATGACTATCCGGGCCTTCCGTTTCCCGGAGGGCGACTTGATCGTTGGGACAATCTTTGCAGGGGCCACCTCCATTTGGTCGTAGCCAGGCTCCTCCATCAACTGGTCCACCTTCACCCGGCGAATCGTTCCAGAGCTCACCAGGGCCTCCATTTCAGCCTGCAGAGGCTCCTTCCATAGGTTGATGTCCTTCTTGACCTCAGTCAGCGACACCGTGTAGGTTTGCAGTACAGCTCGAGCCTGATCAGGTTGATCTGGACAAAGAGGTTCCTCCATGGCACCACCAACATCCTTGGAGAGGGCTGCAAGTCTGCATTCCACTGCCTCCTGTTTCAAGGTCGACCCACTCACCAGTACCAGCTCCTCCTCAAGGCTTTTCACCTGACCCTCCAAGTACCCTATAGACCTGGTAAGTCAGATTCCTGGAGAATCTTGATTTTTGAAAAATCTATAGATTTCTTAGAATTAGTTTTAAAAAAAATAGACGTATTCGGCTGTGAATAGTCAAATTCTATTTGACTTTTAGTCAATGAAAAGTGAAATTGTGAATTTAACGATTTCGGCAACTTTTTTGGAAATAGTTATTTTGATATTTAACTATTTTACAATTTTTTAACTTACAGCCCTGGGCAAACTGCCTTCAAACTGCCTTCAAACTGCCTTCAAACTGCCTTCAAACTGCCTTGCGTTTTTTTGTGTGTTTTTGGTTTAAATTTTGATTGTTGTATCATGTTTTCTTTTGATAATATTCAAAACTAACACATGACTTCTAAATATACATATATCATATCCAAAGTTGATGAAAAAAATGCTTGTGAAAGGAATGGCTATATGAAGTGTATGCATTGTTTTAGGGGAAAAAGAAAGGAAAACAGAAAGGGTCCTTTTTTAAAGGAGTGGCACGAAAAATTAGAGACATAGAGACAAGGTATGAAAAGTATATAGAAGAAGGAAACTTGAAAGTATATCAAACCAACCACATGAAGAAGGAGGGATCGGTGAAAAGATCCAACATAAGTTTACAGCACACTACAGCTGAAGATGTGCTTTTGGATACAAGATGATACAAGGAGGCCTTGCCTTGCCCAGGTGCGATGGGTTTTTGCCTTTTGAGAGAAAAGGAAATCACCAAAGAGAGGGAGGATTCGATATATTCGCAAAGCACACGCACGCGCACGTTTCATAAGTCACATGAAGGGAAAGACAATGCTTGAAGAGTAGAACAAAACAAGACGAGGCAAAACAAAGACAGGGCACAAAGAGAGAAATACATTAGAAACGATCCAACTGACAAGAAGAAAGACACAGCAAGCCACCAAAGACAAACTCAGCTTCAGAAGTCCAATCTGATTCTCAAGCCTTGTGATTGGGGGTGTAAACAACTGGACTAAAAACAGTGAAACATGAAACCTGTATATGAAATTATTATATCTAGCCCCATGCATTTCTAATCTACACAAGAAAATGAAACACAAAATTCACAGGTCAACGCTAGCATCATCAAATATCAACATCCATAAAAGATAAACAGGTAGAAAATAGAAGATGCAAGAGGTTTGACCAAAAACAACTCAGTGAGCGTGTTGAAACAACTCAGTTTGACAGAAGCATCATCTCTCAAAGTCTAGCCTCTCAAGGTACACTCTCTCTCAAGGTAATCTCTCCAGGAGTTTCTCTCAAGGTAAAAGCCTCCAGGTATGTTTCGATTGTGCCTCGTTTCTTAACAAGAAAGAGTGCAACAGGTTGAACCCACGAGTTGCCATCAGCCTCTGCGAGACTGCCGTTTTTTTCCAGCCAAATGTTTAGTCAACATGGTCCAGAAACTGCAGGTGCAGGCCTAATCTGTATCGAGCAATAAGTTTCAGCACGCTTTGACTTGGTTGCTGACCATTGACACATGCTTTGCAAAGATGGGAAATGCGACGCTGCATGTCCTCTCCGGAAAAGCACCATGTCAACCGAGGGGACACGTACCTGGACAACATACTGATATGCTGCATGAAGTGAGCCTTCTGCGTCAGATTGAACAGTTTCTCTTCGAGAAAAAAATCTGCGAGGCCACTGGCAACCAACAGCATAGCACTGCAAGTGTGCTCAAAACGATCAGCAACTTCTTGTGGGAAAGCCATGTGCTCTCTGTACTCCTGCAAAGTTCGCTCCAGCTC